ATCTGCACGTTTGATGAAAATGATGCTTTATTCCAAACGGGGTATTGAAGCTATGCAATGATAGCAAATATATTAAGAGCATGATAAATGCTGAGGCTGCTACTTCACTTTTCCAATGGGCAATTTTGAGTTTTTGTGCTGTCATGGTTTTAGATGGGATGGGCTTGACTTTCTTGCTAGCAGCTGGTACAGTGCTGTTTTGGATTTGGGATGAGAAATACTTTTTATAGTGCGTTGGTATTTTTAGCTGTTGCTAAGCAGTCAGGGCCTTTTCTGCTCCTCACACCACCTCACCAGTGAACAGGCTGGGGCTGCACAAGAAGTTGGGGGGGGAACACAGCTGGGACAGCAGAGCCCAACTGACCAAAGGGATGTTCCATGCCAAATGACGACATGCTCAGTATATAAAGCTGGAGGAAGAAGGAAGAGGGAAGTTCGGAGTGATGGTGTTTGTCTGCCCAAGTAACCATTATGCATGATGGAGCCCTGCTTTCCTGGGGGTGCCGGAACACCTGCCTGCTGATGGGAAGCAGTGAATGAATTCCTTGCTTTGCTTTGCTCACACATGGGGCTTTTGCTTTACTTATTAAACTGTCTTTATCTCAACCCATGAGTTTTCCTTATTTTTCCGATTCTTCTCCTCACCCCACTGGGGAGGGGGAGAAGTGAGCAAGTGTCTGTGTGTGGTCCTAGTTCCCAGCTGGGGTTAAACCCTGACATGTGCAAACTTGATTTTCTTTAAACAGTTTTTTTGATTGAGATGGTCATTCACAGCAACACCCACACCTACTTGCTGAGCTGTGCTATGAACATCCATCAGCTCTGCATAATGTATAAGAGACATAAGCGTCAGCAAGCCAGCTAATTCTTTGCAGGGTAATAAATCATCATATGTGTCTTCAAGCTGAAAATTAATAACTGCATATAATTCTTCCTAAGTGTACCAAGCGATTTGAAGCATGATGCAGCACCTACAATTGAGGATGCAGGAGACAGATTTTTTTTTACTGAACTGAAAACGCAATATTTTATGCTTAGGTTTGAAGGAACTATAGCTTAATAAAGTAAAGCTTACGATTCAAGTCACTCTTTTACTTCAAAACTAATTTATCATACATTTTACACATACTGCAAGTGATGAACAATAGCCTTGGATAATTACTTTCCTTACAAAGTGTGGGAATCAAAGGATGTGCTTTAGATGTGTGGTCACAGACATGACCATGCTGATGAATTGCAAATAACCAACCTAAGAGTCCATGATGTGCCTTCTTTAATAGCTGTATTGTTTATAAATTGTCTTTTACATTACAATCTCAACGGGAGAAAAGTACTTAATACTGGGATTTCTGTTGTGTGGATTTAAATTAAAACAAAATTTGGCTGTGTCCAAGTATAACTGCTAGCAAGGAGAAGCGAACTGTGCTGGTCACATACCAACTATTTTGATATAAAGTTGTAACAGGTTTTGTTTACCAAAGCTAGCACTAGTGCTGGCAGCCTATTACAATCCAACTCAATTTGCAGATCCTAACCCAAGCCTGCAAAAATTTGTGGAGGATCGGGGAGCAATTCCTCTCTTCATTTATAGTTTAGCCAAGCCCTACATGACATCATGGAAGGACACTTTTGTTTATCATTTCCCAAAATTAATTCATATTTTCCCCATCGCATTCCAGGTAAGCTGTGGCAAAAAATACTGCTGTTTATAGCAAAAACCACAAACAGCATCCCACCCAAATGCTCATACAGGCTTGATCTTTCAAAGGGCCATGTAATCACTCTTCAGTGAGAGCTAACAGAGGTCACTTAAAGCCAGGAAGCCTGACAGAGATTTCTTTTATCCAGTATCTGAGGTTTAAGTGATCAACGCTCTGCAACAACATACAGACTCTGAAAGGTTCAGTCTTCACTCTCCAACATTTTAGGAAGGCCTCAGCACTTTGCAGGAGTAGACACATACTTGGCAGCAAATACCAAAACAACTAGTAAGCGTTGCCAAAGGCAAGCTGGTAACACATCTTGTATGATCAAGGCTCTGTGTCTGTTAACACACTCACTTGTGCACTCCTACGAAGGGGATTATTTTGCAGCTTCCAACTAATTTGACAAGATTCCCATTTTGATTAAGTAAGCCATGCATAACTTTAATTCCAATTTGTGCAGGTTTGAGAGGAAGATTGGCCAAAAAAGCAAAGGCTGATTAGGGAAGGCTGCCTGTCTGAGGAGCTGGCTGCCTACCTCAGCCTTCTTCCCCAGTTCCCATGCTGCAGCCTTCAGCTGCTCCTACCAGCCTCTGACTCTCCAGCTTCTCCTAGACATAAACTTTTTCCATAACTGGATTCTTTGTTTGAAAAACTGGAGTACAGACGTAGAAGGCTCAGCCCATGAAGAGTGTCCTCATGGAGAGAAATTAAAAAATGCCAGCTTTTTGTTGGCTGCGTATTCCCCTCTCTCCTGGCACTATCTCTAGCTGAGTACAGTGTGCTCCGCTACGGAGCCAATTTCCTCCCCTTCTGGGACTCAAAGCATATGAGCCTTAGCGATACAGGATTCAGTTCCCTGAGTTTACTACTTAAGCAAAAATTCATCTAAAGACTCCAAGTCACAACACGGTAAGAAAACCCATGCAATTTGGAGGCAAAAAGTTCCTTTGAATGTTTAGGGGGATTTGGGAGAATCTAACCTGATTTTTAACTGCCTCTATTTCCATTATTCAGCTGGAAAGTGTTAGCTGCCAGAAAGACCTACCCTAGTTAAGGCTGTTACCTGTGGGAAGCACTGCTCATTCAAGCTGAATAAAAAGCGGTTAAATTAAATGGTCTCTCGGTTAGTTGGTGGCTGAAACAGAGAAGAAGAGAAAGGCTGGGTGGGCATGGCGGAAAAGCCATGCATTTTATTTGTGTATCACTGCTTAAAAGAAGCTGTGTCACTCGCCACAGTAGTCAGACAACTCCACTGACCCTATTAGACAACAGGATTTAAAACTCTGGTAAGACTGACTGATACTACGTGACTGAGGATTCACTAATGCAGTTCAGTATCTTCCATGCCCTAATTGCAACTTACAAATATTTCAAACATGCATTTCTTCTAGAAAATTAAGCAACATTCTGTTATCTTCAGCACCATTGCCAAAACATAGTAACTATTCAACTGTTGCCTCTGTAACCATTTTTACTCACAGATTTCTTTCCTGTGAGGGTGGTGAGACACTGGAGAAGGTTGCCCAGAGAAGCTGTGGATGCCCCATCCCTGGCAGTGTTCAAGGCCAGGCTGGATGGGGCTTTGGGCAACTTAGTGGTAGGTGTCCCTGCCCATGGCAGGGGGGTTGGAACTAGATGATCTTTGAGGTCCCTTCCAACCCAAACCATTCTATGATTCTATGATTTCTAGTTGTAAAGTGGGATTAATAGCCAAGTTTTTAATATAATTTAAGGATTATATATATAATTTAAGGTTAAGACATACTAAACACAGGCCGACTGCTGCTCTTTGCCGCTAAACTTAAATTTATATCGAATGCAGATAGGCTGCCTGGTAGCTGCTAGGTATCTCCACGAAATTTCTATTTTACCGCCAAAGCCCCAAACCTCTGCGTAAGAGGGAGCACGGTTTAGAGAGACCCGCTGCGGCGGCGAGAGGCTGCGCAGCCCCTGCGCCACAGGCGGAGCACAGCCCTGCACCGCACACCACCCCGCATCCCGACCCCTCCGGGTTTATCCCAAACCTCCCAGGTACAGCTGCCTCTCCTTGCCTCCACGAGGCCCAGCTCTACTCTTCACTCATGCCAGGCTGGGTTTTTAACCCACGTTAAAGATGTGGGCAGTTCTTCTCTCTTCTAATGGGTAAATTATCATGATTTCTGATCGGTGGCAAGGACATCTTGCATTTTTTATTTTGGACGCTTCTGTAGAAAAAGTCATTTGTTCTCATTTCCCTCTCCTTGACTGCACTGTCCCTCCCTTCTGAAGGTACCCTGGGTTCTGTGCGTGAAAAACTAATGGTTGATTTAAGTAATAATACAACTACTCCCGCTTCCCCAATTTCTACTTCCAACGTGCTATGACTGATGCCCTGTTTGGTAAATCTCCCTTAGAGCAGCAGTAACAAGTTGCGTATTTTGAAGAGAAGGGCAAGACAAATGTTTTTTTGTTCTTCGCCCCCTCTTGAGTGCTTCGAGGGATTTTATTTAACACCTCTTGAATTTTCAATTTTTCTTTTACCCCCCTGCAAGGAAGACGGGTACAAGTTACAATCGTGGGTAGCATTTTGCTCTGCTCTTTCCCAGCAGTACTGACGGGAGAGGTTCCCAGTTTGGCTTGCGGAGCCACCACCGCCGTAGCACCATCGTTCGTGTAATTAATTAGGGGGGTTAGGTGTGTGCGCCGGTGCTCTCTGCGGCGAGTGTGGCTGCACCGTCCGAGCAGAGAAAGCTGTTATTAACGCCGCTGCGGTCGGCACGGCTCCGTACAGCTCCTGTGGCGGCCTCTCGGCCTTACTCACGGCCTCACGCTCATCAAACCCGGACGCCTAAAGCCCACCCCACGCCTGGGCCTCCCCGGTGCGAGCTGAGCTCGCTCCGGCTGCCCTGCGGCGGTCTCTGGCGCGGGGCTGGCAGGCTGCTCCCCGGACGAAGTCACCCGAAGCCCGTTAGCTCGCCTACTGCTCCCCTACCCTCGGCCGAGCCGCTTTACCTACAGCCCCACCTCGCGGCACCAAGGCGCCCAGGCCCGCCCGCCTTCCCCCCGCCCGCCTCTGCGGCCGCCTGGCTCCTCCTCGTCCTCTCCGCTCCGCCCCACACCGCGATTCCCGGGGCCGCCGCACAGACACCCCCGGGCGCCCCGTCAGCCCCCTCAGGGGACGGAGGCCGGGCGCTCCCGGGGCGGGTGAAGGCCCCACAGCCGCCGCCCTCCCGGCGGGTTAGGGCGGCCCCCCGCCCCGTGCCGCGTGGACCCCGCGCGCGCCGGCGCCTGATTGGAGC